GTGCTAATGTGGTATGGCAACTCGAACTGATGTACGTACGTACGAAGTTCCACGTTGTTACTGACTGACTGACTGACTGAGATAACCGGTAGCAGAATTCATCTTTGATTGCATCCGGGCTGCAATCTGTCGGGGCATAGGCGGAGACGACGAAAAGACATCGTTTCTCACGCCGATTTCTTCTCACTTTGATGGAACTTCTTAATCTAACAGCACATAACCGACTTTTAATGGGGATCCAGTCGATTAGTGCTGCCTCAACTCTAGCACTTAGTGCGACACCAACGCCAACAAGACCAGACGAAGATGCCACAGGGTCCCCGGATAAACGCACATAAAACAAGCTTTTTGAAGAAACAGATGGAGAGCGGATTTTTAGTACTTCACCAGAGTCTTGAATACGGGTCTCGGATAGACAACAAACGTCAATATTAAGACTTTCCAAAGACATAGCCAGCCCTATCTGTTGTCCGACCTGCATAAATGTGCGAACGTTGAAGGCAGCCAGTTTGAATGCTGCATGTGGTTTCAGAAAAACTGCTTCAGTACTCGTATTCGGTGGTAACATACAATTTTCAACCAGGCAGTGACTCGAGAACGCTTGGATAGAGCCGAATTTCCACCATAGGCGAGCTGCTGTATAAGTCGAAAAATACGGATAGACAGAGTGGGAATGAAAGAGAGTAAATAAATGAGGCGGTAAATAATAATAATAATAATAATAATAATAATAATAATAATAACAATAATAATAATAATAATAATAATAATAATAATAATAATGCGAGTCATTTCAGTGTAAATCGGAGCGAAAAGAATATTTTCCATAAGCAAATAGTTCATCATGTTTTAGTGCGTAGGCTGGGATACGGCCCGGGTGCCCAGACCGAAGCAGGTGGTTTTCTTAGGGGGCCACACACCGAGCCTTTGACCTGGAGGTCTAGTCCACAAGGCAGTGGAGCATCGTGAAAAGATGCAGTCCCATGGAAGCCGGTGACCAAGAAATTGGTTCATACGCCATTTGTTCCCTCAGGATACTGGAGCCCATGTGCACCATAGAATTGGGATCCGGTTATAGCGCCGGACATTCGCTTTCCGTCCTCTCATTTTCGTAAACAACAGTAATGCCACGAGAAGGCAGTGAGTAGGACTTCCCTGGCAGAGGCTGTATACGCGTGGCCGTGTGAGAGTATTTCGAGAGGGAGGGCGAACCCACCCCACTCTCGGTCATACCAGGGCATTTAGCGATACAAAGTTTGTATACTAATAACTCTAAAGTATCGTTCAATACAAATGTCAAGACAGTCCTACTGCACAAAGATGATACTACCACAAACACCATCAAAATGATACAGTTATTTATAAAGTTCATAATTCATATAAGTAAACTAACTGCATATAAAATTTTTAACCAGCATAGTCTAACTGATCCAAACATAACGATCAGATTATTTTGCTAGTACTGGAAATCCACACAGCAAAGCAAAGAACGACAGCACTTAACTAAAAATCAATCTGCAGATATAATATCCAGTTGTAAAACTTTAGTCAGGATAACTAGTTCATAACAACAGACTAAGCAATTGTGAAAACCTCGAACAACTTAACTACCAAACAACATGCTTTACAACCAACGTCGTGAAGGTACAAAATATACAGTTACTTCGGTACACACCAAGGAACTAATACATTTACTAGATTAAATGACATTATCTCCACAGCTAGCGAACTAAGATATGAGTGAATTTAGAGTAACTAAAAACAGATGAATTTCATAACATGCGAGAACAGATCTACAAATCAGTCGACGCAAAATAAAGGTCAGGAGGAATCATATCCACGTAAGAAATCTTGGGCACTATTAAGATAGTAGCACGGTTGTGAAACGTTTATGAAATAATGTTGTGATACGGAACCTGCATAAGACTGGCATACGTCGGCCCTTAACGACTCTCTGGTTGAAGTTCTGGAGATAGGGAAACACATTGACTTGAGACGTCATCAGACAGCTCACAATTGAGGTTAGTGGCGACTGTGCTGTATTTTTTTTACTTTCATGAAAGTGGGAGAGACTCCTTTAACCAAAAAAATTCCCTTCTGATTACATTTTCCGTAACCGAACTGCTACTTATATTACTTTTTAAGTAAAAATAACATACCCACAGAAACATAAAATATTGGTTCAGTGGAGAGTCCACTTTTTGGCGAATTCATTTTCAATGCTGTACAATCGCAAATTGTACAGCAAATGCCCCCAAATGCCCTGGTACGGCCGAGAGTGGGGAGAGTTCGCTCTCCCTCTCGAAATGCTCTCACATGGCCATGCGTATATAGCCTCTGCCAGGGAAGTCCTACTCACTGCCTTCTCGTGGCGGGGTGTTGTTTACAAAAATGAGAGGACGAAAAGCGAATGTCTGGCGCTTTAACCGGACCCCAAACCAATGGTGCACATGGGCTCCAGTATCCTGCGGGAACAAATGGCGTACGAACCAATCGTTGGTCACCGGCTACCATGGGACTGCATCTCCTTACGATGCTCCACTGCCTTGTGGGTCAGACGTTCAGGTCAAAGGCTCGGGGTGTGACCCCCTAAGAAAACCACCTGCTTCGGTTTGGGCACCCGGGCAGTATCACAGCCCTCACACAAATCAATTGAGATTTGTGTGGCGCATATGTATTTGGTGCCTCCCTGTACCTATACTTATGTGTTAAAATAAATAAAATAAATACAATCGCAAATGTATACTTATTTTTCAAAGTGATAATAATTACAATAATAGTGATAACAAAATTCTTTTAAACATGGTAACAGTGAAACAGAATAAACAAAGGCATTAAAACGTTATGTTTTTATCGAGGAAACTAGTAAAAATTTTGTTGTTGAGAGCTTGAATATTCATCATGAAGATAGAAGGGGAAATTATAAGTGGGAAAGGATGGTTCAGCACGATAAGATAAGCTTTTGAAACTGAGATGAACAGTAATCAAGAGGGTCATAGAAACATATATAAATCGGTCGAGGGTAAAAGGTCTATAGAGCAGATAGGAGAGAAGCGGATAGCTGTAAAGAAATGTAGGAGAAAAATTACGAATGATTAAGACCATGGTAGAAAGAGGTTGTACCAGTTTATTTTGGACACGTAATTCTAGTTTTTCCAGATGTATGGCTGATGCTTCAGCAATGCTAAGAAGATGGAATATAACTGCTCCTGACAGAATCCGTTTTGGCTGAGCGACCTGTATTCACAAGGTATTCGATTATTGAACTTATTCAGCCATTTTCACCTCTTTTCAACCAAGCCAGATAATGTCCTCAGATTATTCTGACCAAAATACGCATCGAGCGACCTATATGCTTGGCTGCATATGAAAAGGTAAATTGATAAACACATATACAGATAATTTACCCTTAAGATTATTGGTGAACATTGGTCGTATGGAAAACACTATTCGCAAAGTCTCTGAGAAGGATGTTGTTTCTGAAAAATCAAAAATATCCTCTTCAAGACGTCTGTAACTATATCACCTTCAAAATCGATGTTCATATAAAATATTTTATCCTCTACAGAGGTTATTTATTCCCTAGGTGGTTTGGGTTTTACATTCTTGTCAATAAATACCGATGGATATACATTTTCGACAAGTATTTTCTCAAGGAGGCTCAGTGCATTATCTACGACGTCAAAACTTCAAATTCTTCGTATCTATGTAGCGAGGGATGTGATTAAGTTTTTCTTCCGGCTAATGGAGATCCAGCTATGGAAATTCGATATCTGGCCATTCCACAAGGGTTTCCTGTAGATGGATTTTCCTACAGTTCTGTCGTGTTTTCAACTTGTTTTCAACTCCACGTATGGAATTTAATGCTGGATGGCAGTTGTTAAATGTCTTTAGAAGATTAAAATCACGTTTACCCTCATACGTAATAAATACATCACCCATTCGTGATGAATATTCAAGCTCTCAACAACAAAATTATTTTGAAAAGAGAAAGAACAAAGACTAAAATATTTGTTCTTGCTCCTTTCATAAGGATAAAGGGAAATATGTGTATAAAGGAAATTTATTATGTTTCCCTGGTGAAAACATAAAGTTCTGATTCATTTGTTTATTTAGTTTCACTGTTACCATGTTTAGTCAGTCATCTACAACGCAGTACCAGACATATATGTCGAGGTTCTGCAGTTTTTCGGCAGTGAAACACCGGCTCCCTTGGCCTGGACATGATTCACAAATGTCGTTTCAGCAGCTTCTATGTAGCGCACTATTCGGTATCCTGGGAGGTAGTGAGTCTGACATGACGGTCATTTATGAAAGATAACTTTATAAGACCGAAATTCATATATTTAACGTGATTTCCGTCAGTATTGCGGAATCTAGTGGCTTGAGATTAAGAATGACTCAGAATAAAAGCCAGTAGCGATCCTTTTACACTTCACTAGTACACTTTACCCTAAAGCAAGAAGAATCTTTAAACGAACGTTAATTACATACGACGTGAAACCTCACACTAATGAGCTTCGGTTCAAGTTGCCACACTACAAATTACCATACAGAAATACGACTCTTATAATGAATGTGGAAGTAGCAATGATAATAAGAGTGATGATTAAAAAATGTAGTCTGTTTTGTCACCATTATGAAAGCCAAGATATTCAGTCTGGTGTAGGCTACCCCATTTCAGGATCATAAAGGACTCGACAAAAAGTATGACTCTCAATAACTCAAGATTTATCCCTGTAACCTATACACGTGCAACAAGTAGTAGTTTATTATTGTTGCTCAACAAAATTTGATGCACGATTCAGAGTACGCGTCGAGTGCTTAATAAATGAGATTATAGGGTAGATCACAATTTAACCAATCAAGCAGTGAAAGTTCCGAACTTAATTTACTTGGGAATAGTAATCATGCATTATTACAGTTGACTGCTCCCACAACTTAACAACAGGTTGCACGAATTCTAATAAGAACTAGCACAGTACAGTGTCAGGACTGACCTTCAAAAATTTCAGCAATCGAAATATCCTCCTTTAACATCACAAGACAAACACTATAAGTCTTCATCCTGACTAAATTCTATTACCCCCAAGATTATCAAGTGTACGTGTAGACCAAAACAATTGGCACCTTACCAATGATACAGGTGACTTGTCATACTACATTTCACAACAAATTTACCCTGAAAAATTAATTGCGTGGAATAACATCGGACTGCCTACGTGGAACCCATGAAAAGCAGCAATAAACCCGTTAAGAAAAGCAGTCCTCACACTGAATGCCAACAAGACTGAGATCGGTACGTTTTAGCGTTGATGTAAGCTGCCATACCCCACTAACATGAGATTGATAAAGTCACAATATACTATATTACAACTCAATATTTATATACAGCTCACCTAACAAGGTTGCTAGGCAAATAGTTCAGGAATTCCGATCTAAAAATTTCTAATTAAACCTTAATCCCCAAATCGTTTCCACACTTGTCAAATTACTGTAAAGCTTGAAACTCTTGAAGACATTTTCGAATCTTACTTAAGACTTCTTGTGAGAAGATATTTTACCAATTTTACGACACCAAGAATATCACTTTTCTGAGACGATGATTCGTTCGTAAAAGCCAAGAATGAACAAAACCCTTTGCAGGTTTTCAAACCGAGCCAGTGTCACTCGCGTCTGACGCCAAATCGCGCTGTAGAGATGAGATTTTAGAAAACAAAACTCCACAGCATGTGAAGACGGAACTCACTGACAGGTTAGTCATTTTTCACAAGCTAAAAGTATCTTCCGAAGATGAACCAAAGACTATATTTGAACATGACCTCAGCTACATTAAATCCTTAATAAGCATGTTGCACCTAGAAACAGTTTCGAGAGTTAGCGCATGTAGGCTTTATTGAATAGTACAACAAGTGTGTTCTGAAAGTACACAGAAAAACCGTCTCCTTAAAGTCGCCTTTGCTTCGGCTGAAGAAAGAAACCTAATGCTGGAAAACTCAGACAAACTGACTGGATCTGAATTACATGTCTGTAAGGATCTGAGCCTGGTCGATCGTATTAAGAAACGATCGGCAGAACGGTGAAAGAAACCCTATACTAAATGGTTTTCATATTGTAGAAATTCGGAGAAAACTATCCCGAAACCACTCTGGATGGTAAGAGAGAGTTCTTCATAGAATTAAAGGTGTGCTGCACAAAGTCCTGCAGTCTACAAAATAAGATGGCAGAGTTCAAAGCATTGGTGAACACAAAAAAACCCTGACTTCATCGCCATTTCAGAAACATGGGTCTCGTCAAAAGTTTATGATAGTGAAATCCAATTGCTTGATTTCTTAGTTTGCAGGGCTATCGGAGCAAACCCTAGGAGTGATATACTTATTTTGTGCGCAAAACGCACCTTAACCATACGGGCTGTGAAGACAGGGATATGTGGACTAGTGCACTGCAGGCTGAAATGTAAGCGACAAGATGTTGAATTAGTTGTAATATATCGCAATCCATAATGTGTAGATGATTTCCTCCCACATGAATTTAAGTCCTGGTGGAATGGGGGTAGAAGCCTTATAGTAGGCGACTTTAGTGCACCGTATATAAACAGGGGGAACTTAGAAGTAGGGTCATCAACAACATCGTTTGATTTCAAATTGTTGGAAACTATGATCGCCCAAACTTTATTCTAGCACATTAGACATCCCACTGGACATGACTTGCGAAGCTCCTCGTCTCTCTTGGACATACTCTCCACGCACGGTGATGATATCAGTCAAATAACTTTCCTCTCACCTTTGGGGACAAGTGATCATGCGGTCATCATATTCAAGTTCATGGGTGAAATGGTCAGTCAAACAGTGGCGCCTGCCCGTCCTAACAAATGGAATGCAGACATGAGGGCAATCAACTCTGCAGCTTAAGCTGAAAGCTGGATAATTGACTCACGGGTATCAGCACAAGAGACATGGACTCATTTCCGGCAGTTGTACGATCAAAAAACTCAGACTTTTATACTCTGGACAGTCCCAAAGAAGAAGCACGACCAACTTTGGATAGATCGGAATATTCGACGTTTACTAAGACAAAAGAAGATATGTCAGAACATAGCCATCAGCCATGGCACAGCAAATAGGTGGGACGCCACAGATCGGCACGAAATACATGTATAATTACAGTCCGAGAAGCTCAACGAAAGTATGAAATTTAGTTGGCCCAATCTGTAATTGAGCAGCCTGAAAGAATTTTCGTACATAAATTACGGAAAATGGACGCAGTATTGTATTTGCAACGTGATCATGGAAGGAAGAGGATCTGAAATGACTATGAAGCCATGACAACCATTTCGGGACAGTTTTAATAATTATGATAATTTATTCCCAAATTACTGTATGTTACACGAGGCGTGTCAGTTTACAGGCCTAATCAAATTGTTACAGAAGATATTCTCTTCACTGTGATGGGTTACTCAGTTAGTTCGATATTTTATAAGGTACACTGATCACAAAGTTATGAAGAATAAGACATCTTACATATGGATGTAAATAATATTATATCCCTCTGAGGTAATAACGATGGCTCAGAACGAAGTCGCCTGTTTTACATGTGTTTTCGGTGGCATATCTTGAGGAGGCTGATAAAGAGGGTAAGAAAAATAAAAGACAAGAAGCAAAGTGAACAATGTTCACACCTACCGGAATTGAGTCATTTGTGGTGAAATAGGGAGTGTATGAGTACCTAGTCAACTTCTCTTTTATTGAAGTACTTTTTGAGCAAAAGCATTCTAACAGATTAACGAAAACAATCGTAAATATGGTATAAATGGACAAAGAACCGCATAAATGGAGGTGATTTAAAAAGAAGTTGAAAGTGTATGGATGTGTGTAGTTTTAAAATTTAGTACTGAGAACAGCATTCTGATACATAAACGGCTATCTCCGTTTTTGACGAAACTATTTCAGCCCACTTTTATTTTTATTGAATTCACGAGGTCATGAGCAGGCTTTGCTTTTAGCACTTTGTCTAGTCTTGCCTGTAATAGGACTACTCGGTAGGAAGTGAAACCAATTCAACGTTACAAACATGATTTAAAGAGGTATTTTGCATAATAAATTAGCATCAATTACATTACTTTGTGACATCCAACTTGTCCATAAGGGGCCAATTGAAGTTGCCTATTCACCATCATGTTTGTTGGTCAGCTTTTACTCAGGATGCTCCTCGAGACGAACAACTAGACCAAAGTACAAAGCTGACAAACCGTCTGCTTACTGTGGACTTGATCGAGACGATGTATTTAAGACCCTAAGTACTTTGAACACAGGAAAGTCAACAGAGCCGGATGAACTACATCCCCCAATCTTGAGACAAATTGCACAATATATATCAGCCCCAACAACTACGATATTTAATATGTCACTTGGTCAAGGTGGGTTATCTACAACTTGGAAGCGTGCAGTTGTTACTCCAACGCATAAAATAGAACTAAGACAACTTTCACTAAACTACAGACATATCAGCCTCACCAGTGTTATAGTTAAAATACTGGAAAAAACGATCAAAACGACCGTAATGTTATTCATGGAAACTAACAACTTGTTGGACAGAGGACAACATAGTTTGAGGGAGGGTTTATTTTGCAAAACAAATCCCCTTACAGTAGCAGAACAATAGACAGAGGCCCTAAATAATGGAAAATCAGTGGATGTTGTCTATATAGACTTCAGCAAAGCGCTCGATAAGGTGCAAGAAATAGACTACAACGACGAATCCAGTAAATTAACCATCTAGATTTAACTACGATATATAAAAGGGTAAACCCATGGAGCTCACTCAGCAGTGCATGAATGTGGTGGGTATTTCCACAGCAGGTCTCCACACAACTCTATAAATTTCCAAAAGCTAAACGATGGTGCTCTCGACGTAACGACTTAAAGGTTAGAAATACAACCCCTAATTAGCAGTTTTTGTTTTTGGAAGATTAATCCCAATCTTGTTTACAAAAGTCCCCCAGCAACCAGAAAGCACATGTTAATATGCACACTCCATCTAGAAGAAATAAATCAACAAATAATATATTTCTGATAGAGCAGGCACATGATAACTTTGAGATGGTGAAGATTTGTAGCTCAGGTGGATGATTTAGATGGAGTTTTGCTCTCTGAGCTGGATGGTTTGGTCGTGGAGACTTCATCGTTATTCTGAACGAAACCATTAGCACAAATGTCAGATAAAAGTCTTTTACTTGTACGATGAAAGCCCCACGACCAAACCATCCAGCTCAGAGGACAAGACTCCATCAAAAACACGATAATTTTATTAATTTAAAACATTGGTTTACAGACTAAATGCTTCTCAAGCTGGGTCGTTAAATAGAAAAAATCAACGGGAATAAATAGCCGCATATTCGTACAGATGTATGAGTACTGTACTATGAGTGTAGTCTTTGTGATCTGTGTCAAAAACGGCATCCCATCCAAATCGTGACTTTGAGAAAGATACAGAAGGTTCAAACTCGACACTTTTCGTTACAGTTGTGGTGCAGACAAAGCAACTGTTTAAGGAGTTTATATTTTTATATAGTGAATATTAAGGGCGCTCGGTCAAGGCCGTAACCTTCAAAGACGTGTACGTTTAGTTTACGTTAGGGGTAAAACGTTCCATAACTGTGAGCTGAAAATTTGATGCTGTGAAAAAGAAAAGCAAAGGAAAGGAAGTATATTCAGATATAAACCCTCAAGAATGCTCGACGGTTTGAAGTGATGTAGTGGGATTGATTCTAACCATATGATCCCTGAAGCTCAACATGAGATGGACGACAAGTATCATATTCAACATTTAACACAGAGAGGTCAGGAATGGTGAACGCGACACGAATCAATCGAAATGACATGGCTTAGCCCTGCAGGCGTGGTCACTACGCATAACTTAGTACTATTCACGTTAAATATACTACTCTGTCCCCAGTTCACATGCGTGGTAAACATCACATTGTTAGTTGTCACAATAAGGTTGGGTAGAATAGACAATGATGTGACCTCTGCGTAAGATCTCATAGATTTGA